CTGACACAATTTGGTGTAAACTGAAACTGTCGAAGCACGACGATTGTCTTGTTGGAGTGGTCTATCGTTCTCCCTCATCCACGGAGTCAGCAAACGATACATTTGTGCGAGCTATGTCACAAGTCCTATATGCAAAATTTAGCCATATTCTAACAGTGGGTAATTCCAACTGCCCGCATCTCAATCAAACTTTGACCTCCCATCTATCGTTTCAATGTCAGTTTAAACAGTTAATCGACTCGCATACGTTGTACAACCACGTAAAGGAGCCCACAAGGTTTGGCAACATGGAAAAATTGTCGATGCTGGATCTGGTACTAACGAACGAAGAACTCATGGTCGAATCCATCGATGTCTCGCCCCCCTTAGGACGCAGTGACCATGCAGTATTGTTGTTCAAATATGTCTGCTACGCTTCAATAGAAAGAAGTCCGCAAAACAATACACGTCTCGCCACGGACTATACTAGATTGCAGAATTTGGCCCACTGCACTCAGTGGATCTTTCCTGGGGACGTAGGTGACCCAGTGGTCACCTGGCATACATTTACACACAGACTTACAAACCTGATCACCTCATTTACTAAGGTTGTTATAAAATCAGGGGTCCAAAACTCACCGATTCGTAGCCGCACTAAGAATTGGATGTCTCTGCGCAATCGATCTTGGCGAGAATACAATCGATTTCCAACTGACAGCACCTGGAATAAATATCGACAACTGCGAAACCATTGTACCCAGTTGGTGCGCGAGGACAAGTTGAGGTACCAAGAAGTGCTCTCACGGATGTTCATCTCCAACCCATCATTACTATACAAAAATGTCAATATGTCGAGGAAGGTGAAGTACGGGATACCCGCACTCAGCTGTCTTGGGAAGATCGCCAGCAACACTCAGAAAGCAGCTGAGATACTGAAAAACCAATACGCCCAAGTATTTGGCACACCTAACAACGTGAGACTGCGGTTTCCTCGTCGAATACTCTTTCTTCCAAATCCACCACTGACTATCCTCACGTTTGATGCCGACAGAGTGAAATCAAAGCTTCTGAGTCTACGTAAGCATTCGGCTCCAGGTGCAGACAACTTACATCCCCAACCGCTTATTTCATTAGCGGATTACATATCTGAGCCGCTAGCTTTTCTGTTCCAAAGGATGTTTGACGCAATCGTGCTGCCTCAGTCATGGAAACAGGGCATAATTTCACCAATTTACAAAGGCGGCCGTCGCAGTGATCCTGCCAACTACCGCCCGGTGACACTCCTACCCGTTTTATCCAAAGTCATGGAATCCATAGTGGCGGATTTCTTGATGGAACACTTAGAGAAATACGACCTACTTTCCTCAGCACAACATGGATTCCGTCAAAAGAGATCATGTACTACCAATCTGCTCCTGGCCTGCGATGAATG